GCTAATTTACTTTTCAAATTTAATTGCTTATTTTTATTATTTTACAAATGTTTAAATATTTTTTTCAATTCTTTAGATATATTCATTATTTAATATTATATTATTTCTTTTAATTTTTTTACTATTACTTAATATAAAATAATTAATTAATCTAAATTAGCAACTAATAAATATTTCGATAAATAATATAACATTTACATCTTATATTTACTAATAATTTTAAATACATAATAAACATTCAAATTAACCAATTCAAATAAATAATTACATATCACACAATAAGCCATTAATAATTATTTAATTAACTTCAGTAATAACCGGAAAAAAAAAATAAAATAAAACGGCCCAGTCAACTGGGCCAGAAAAAAAAAATTAAAAAAAGGCCCAGTCAACTGGGTCAACTGGGCCAGACCCGCCCAGTTGACCCAGTTGAATGGGCGCCCAGTTGGGCTCTGCCCAGTTAACTGGGCAACCCAGTTGACTGGGCAGACGCCCAGACGGCCCAGATAACTGGGCCGTCTGGGGTATTATTTCTTTTAATTTTTTTACTATTACTTAATATAAAATAATTAATTAATCTAAATTAGCAACTAATAAATATTTCGATAAATAATATAACATTTACATCTTATATTTACTAATAATTTTAAATACATAATACATTCAAATTAACCAATTCAAATAAATAATTACATATCACACAATAAGCCATTAATAATTATTTAATTAACTTCAATAATAACCGGAAAAAAAAATTTAAAACGGCCCAGTCAACTGGGCCAGAAAAAAAAATTTAAAAAAAGGCCTAGTCAACTGGGTCAACTGGGCCAGACCCGGCCCAGTTGACCCAGTTGACTGGGCGCTCAGTTGGGCCTAGGCACTATTGTGCCCAGATGGCCCAGTCAACTGGGTTGCCCAGTTGTCTGGGCGTCGGGGGCGACTGGGCGCGCCCAGACGGCGCCCAGTCGCCTTTTACGGCATTTTTGATGTCCGATCGTCGGAAAACTCCATTTCCGGCGATCTCCACTCCTTCCCAAGTAATATGTTGCCAAAATTCCACATTTACACATGAATTTCTCAAGAAATATGTAGAAAATCATACTTTTTTCCAAAAATAAAAATATAAACATGGTTTTTTTTTGTATAAATTTCTTACCTTCTTCAGAGGGATTTTGGCCAAGTGGGTATCCTGTTTTTCCTTATTTGTCGGTGTCTGGGTCGACTGTGCTACAGTATTTTCCCGTCTCCTTCGGCTTTGCTTCGTTTTCAAGTGAGGGTAAAATTGGGAATCTCTTCTTTTTTTTTTGGTTTTCACGGTTTTTTATAATTTTGCCTTTTTTTTCGTTGGTCAAAGGCCAGTTTGAAAAATTGGCCGGGTCAACCGGCCAACAGCCACTAATTCCTCAGAAAAAAGGGCATTTATCGGCACAAGTCCGGGTCGGGGCGAACAGACGCATTCGTACCTTTTTCACTTAAAGTCGCGTTTCTGTCCGGGAAAAAACACAGTGGTGCGACTTATGGACTGCCTCCATTATAAAATACTATGGACTGCCTCCATTATAAAATACTAGTCGTTGTCACATGCGTTGCACGAATTTTGTGTTTATTGTTCTTTTATTAACGTAAAAATTGTAGATTTTCTAAAACTCGTTTAAGATTATCCATTTTTGGTTAGTTTTCTTAACTAAATATAAGAAATGATGTAATGATTTTCTTTTATCTTAAGCTGTACATGTTTTAGGAGCTTATCTGCAGCTCATTTCTTGTATGTTTCTTATGCCAACTTGTTTGTTTAGTCGTTCCCAAATTCTATTGTTACTTAAGCTGCTTTCAATTGCAAAAAAAGAAGTAGATTGAGGGATGGAAGCAAGTATTCAACTTTCGTTACGGAATCGATAATTCATCTTTTTATATTTGAACCTGAATGTGCTAAACAAATTCTTTTTATTTCTTTGTCTTTTTTTTCCCCGCATCATTGTGGAATCATATTTTTCATGATTATTATAGGTAATGCAAATACAGTATCTTCCTTCAAATAAATGACTAATAATAGAATGAATATAAGTTCCTTTGATATTTCAATAGATGCAACCTAAAAATTCACATGATACAAATTATAATGATTATTGCAATATTCCTCAGACAATTTAGTTATAAAAAAGATATTGAAGATAACATATTTATTATTCAAGTATATTCTATCATTGTTACTATTTTGCATACCTTATATTTTACTTATGTGTAAGTTTAATTTGCAATTTCAATTCATGTCTATATTGAAGAGTTGATTTTCAATTGTGAATTAAATGTTTTTGGTTCTTTTAATAAGTATTTTTCTTCTAAAATCCAAATACCGTATAAAATCAAATTACACATTGTTAGCTTTAGGTGATTCTGAATTGTTGTACAAATGCTTCTTCTAATATTTTATTTAATTAATGATAAATTAGTTATCATCTATTGTTAGCTTTACCTAACTATTAATTCTTCTATAAATTGTTCTTGTAATAACTGATTTACTTACATAAATTAGTTGTTCTCTATCATTACATATTTTGATTAATTGATTTATTTAATTAATATATAAATGTGAACTTTATAACTAAACTGATTGTAAGTGAAATTAAATGCAGTTGCTACCTTATTGAAGAACAAATAAATTTAAAAAAGATTTGTCTTTATTTGTGCTCACCTTCTATGTCAATCATGTTTAATAATTAATTTATTAATTTCTTCTTCATCTATTTAAAGTTATTATTATATTTTTTTTATCTCTTTTTTCCGCGCATCCTCTCTCTCACAGTTCTTCTCAACAATTATCTAAAAGTCATGGGGATTGCCAATTGAGAACAACTTGTAAGGGATGTCCAAATACCACTATAACAACTGCAATTAAATAGCCATTTGCACAAAAAAAATCACTATTATGACGAGAACAAAAACATTACTTCTATATGAGCAGTACGTACTTGAACTATTGATACAAGCAAATCAACAACTTGTCGCTTCATTTGCCACTTGGTGCTGAGATTACTCTGACGTAGCACCATATTTGCTTTGATAGACTTCTTAAATTCTTCAAGACGAGCAATAGCTTCCTAACCAGATATAAGCATCATTGACAGAAGAAAATAAGCATCACGTCTAACGGAAACAACATGCTATAACATAACCAATCGAAGAACCCATGGCATCAACATAAACCCAATAAAAAAAGTCACCGTAAGAGTAGAATCGCATCTCAATAGCTACTTGCTATGGTAATCAGAGGGCCACCTTTCATCTATCAAGATGAAATCTTAACCTTTCAACATTGCTGATAACTGTGATCAAAATCATGAGACCTACTTCAACAAGAAAGAGATAATACAAAGTAAACACAGAAACTAATTATGAGCCAATTTGTAAATAACTCCACACATATTGCATTTTAAATTGGTATTTAACTAACAGAAACAAAACCAATTCACTTTGCAAGACTCCTAATCATCTGCTCTAATGAGTTTGCAATCAGTTTCCCACACTAAACATGATTTAAAATGTTATAATAAACATGATTTTTTAATTTTTTAGTTTACTTTGATATATAATATATATGTATACATTCCTACATAAGAAACAAATAAGAAAATAGCTTAACAAAAAAAAAAAAAAAAACCTCTCTGCACTGTGCGGAGAGATCAATTGATATAGATTTTGTTCCAAATTGTATAAAAAATGCATATTTTATTTTCGACCATTGATTGATTTACTCAAGGCAGTTGAAGAGGTGTATGAATTTAAATATCTCTTTCTACTCCCCTTTCTTTTCGGAAAAAAAAATTTGCTGGTTGTAATGGTTAGTAGTGTTTTATTCGTATTTTTTTATGGAATTGATTTAGATTTTGTTCCAAATTGTATAAAACTACACATTTTCCTTTATACTAGAGTGAGTTTGTTGCAAAGTTGAATGAATTATATTTCTTTGTTTTGCAGAGAGATAGTTTTCTCCTTTGGTAAATAAATATAGATTTTTTGCTATGAATTGAATTGGTTCCATTTGACTGTGTGGTTCTACATTTGCAAGATTTTTTTAGAAGGGTATTATCATTCCATTTTAATCCTTGCCGAAAGATTAAGAATTTTATTTTGTTTTAAGAGGCAAGACAAGAATTATAGTAAAAGATGCTCTAATGGATCACTTAGGTTGGAAGAAGACCCATGCCTTCAGTCATTCAAGTTGGTGAGTTCTGATTTTGAATTTTTAATGATGTTTGATTTTTTTTTTTTTTTTGTTGTTGTTAAAAGGTAAATAGCGTACATTTATTGTTTGTGATTATATGTTAAAATTCCCTGATTTTTAGTGGTGAAATATTCTCAGAACATAAACTACGCACGCACGCACGCGTTTTCAGTTGTAAAACCACAAATTTAAAACCAACCTACTGGTAAACAATTCGACTTCGACTTGTTTTAGCTTATTGATGTTATCTCAATGGTTAGTCAAATAAGTAGCATAGTTAAATACCCTAGTGAAAAAAATATGCCAAAACAATTATCCGTTGTGTGGACATGTTCCTTGTTTAAGCTGTATAATTAATTATTTTCCTAGAATGTATTGCCTGATTTTAGTTGGTAAATTGACGTAACTTTGGTAAATTCATTTTTGTTGGAATACCGAACATTTAGTTTTGCTAATTTTATTGTGGATGCTTAAAAAAAAGAAGTGGATATTACATAAAACCCTACCTTTAAAGATCTCATTTCTTAAATCATATGCTAAGTTTATTTATACAAAAATCAGATGATAATATAATTTTTAAATAATAATAATAATAATAATTTTATAAAAAAAAAAATTGTATTACAACTCCACGTCTCCACCACAACCCCATTCCAACCCAAACCCTACCCTAAATCATATTTCATTTTCCCCTATTCGAGTATTCATTCTCTCTGTCTACTGCCGTCGTGAGAAGCAATGTGAGAAACCCACCATCGAAAGTCACAGCAGCAGCACCGTGAGAAGTCATAGAAGCAACATCCACACCGGGGCGACGATAGCGCTGTCATATTCGACGTTGCTGCAGCAATTGCGGGCGGCGCTGTGCTCATCCCCTTGTGATTTTGCGATTTTTTTGTGGATGGTGTTTGGTGGTGGATGTCGAGACGACGACAGCGCTGTTGTATTCGGTGTTGCTGCAGCAATTGCGGACGGTGCTGTGCTCATCCCCTAGTGATTTTGCGATTTTTTTGTGGATGGTGTTTGGTGGTGGATGTGGTGTGGTGGTTGCGTGGTGGTGGCGAATCTGAGCTATCGGATTCGTCAAAACGGGTGGTGGTAGTGGTGGTTGTGATAGTTTTTTGCGACATCTTAGATTTGGTGGTGGTGGCGACGGCTCTGTTGTGTTGTTGGTGGCTCTGTTTAGTGGTGGCTGCTCCAGTGACGGCGTTGCTCTGTTGTGGTGGTTAATCTGTTGATCTGTTGGGTTTGATCGGTTTTGTCGTAAGGTGGTGGTGGTTGATGTGGCGAAGGTGCTCTGTTGTAGTGGTGGGTTTGTTGGTGTGCTGTGGTGTTGATAGGTCGTCTTGAGGTGGTGGTGGCTCTGTTGGCGAAGGCTCTATTGTGGTGGCGGCGGTAATGGTGATAGAGATGGTCGAGGTGATGGTCGTGGATGGGATGAGATGGGATTGGATGCTTGTAACCATGGTGCGTGGCGGCGATAATTTGGGGCGGTTGTGGTGGTTGTGGACCGTGATTGTGACTTCCAACTGTGGTGGTGGTATGTGGCCATCACCGTGGTGGCGATGAAAATTGTGACTATGATCGTGACTCTCAATTGGATACGTGACCTGAAAATTGTGTCTGTAACTCACAATTGGATACGTTACCTAAAAATTGTGAATCATAAGTGTTGCTGGTGGTCACAAATTATTTGGTTGATTGTGACCATTAAATTGGTTAATCCGTGATCAATAAATAATACGTGACCAATGAAAAAGATAAATTGTGACCGAAAAATAATGTATGACCTAAAAAATTGTTAATCTGTTACCGATAATTTGATAATTTGTGACTGTATAATAAGTTGTGACTTGTAATATTTATAATTTGTGACCAATAAATAAATCTAAACTTAAATTTTTTTTGATTTGTGACCGATGAACAAACTGTGACCTATAAAATTTTTGAATTGTAATCGTAAAATAATTTGTGACATAAAAATTCTGATTTGTGACCAAAAAATAAGTAACAAATTAAATCGTTAATTTGTGACCAAATTATATAAATCTGTGACCTAAATATATTTAATTACTAAATTAATTAATTAATTAATTAAATTATAAATTATATTTTAATAAATATCTGGTTTTTGAAATTTGAAAATTGTTTTCTTGTTTTTGAAATGTAGCATAATTAATCTCTCATTTATGAAATTTTCCCTAAAAAATATATATATATATTTTTTTTGTCAAACTATTTTCTTGTTTGTTTCTTATGTAAACTAAAAAAAATCAAAAATCAAATAGTTTGAATTTAAGAACACCAAAGAGAATAAAAAAGAAAGAGAAATGGGGAAAAATCGTAGCTCAGCGCGTGTGAAACATCTGAAGAGTTTGGAGATACCTCAACATTGGTGAAAAACTACGATAATTTTAAAAAAATAAAAACCAAATAGATAAAACGAAAAAAAAAAATCAAGAGCGGAGAGTTTGGAGAGTTACTCCAGAGACTTTGGAGAAACACCTCCAAACTCTTTAGAGAGTTTCTCTCTAAACTCTCCTCACAGTTCGAAGAGATCAATTGATTTCTCTGCACAGTATGGAGAGATTTTTTCTTTTTTTTAAAGCTATTTTCTTATTTGTTTCTTATGAAAGAATGTATATATATATATATATATATATATATATATATATATATATTATATATTGAAGGGCAACAAAAAAAAATAAAATAGCTTAAATTTAAGAAAATCAAAGAGAATAAAAAGAAAGAGAAACGTGGAAAAAAAATCTAGCTCCGGAGAGTTTGAAAATAACTCGACATTGATGAAAAAATATGGTAATATGAAAAAATAAAAAACCAAACAGAGAAAAAATGAAGAATAAACAAAAAAAAAAAAGTTTCTCCAAACTCTCTGGAAATTTTCTCTGAAGAGCTATCCAAATTTTCTAGAGAGTTTCTCTGAAAAGCTATCCAAACTCTTTAAAGAGTTTGGAGTAAACACTTCGGAGAGTTTGGAAAAACTATTCGCACTGTGCAAAGAGAGTTGATCTCTTCGCACAATTCGGAGAGATTATTTGATCTCTCCGTACAATGTAGAACAACTTCGCACTGTGCTGAGTGACAAAAGTGCAGAACAACTCCGCACTTTGCTCCCACGAAGTGCGGAGCAATTTATTTTAAGCATCCACAATAAAATTAGCAAAACTAAATATTCAATATTTCAACAAAAATGAATTCACCAAATTAACATCAAAGATCACACTAAAGCAATAATTTCTCGGTATTCCAAAAAAATGAATTTATCAAATTAACGTTAATTTACCCAACTAAGATCACGCAATACTTTCTACAAAATAATTAATTATACAGCTTAAACAAGAAACACGTCCACACACAACTGATAATTGTTTTAGCATATTTTTTTACCAGGGTATTTAACTAAGCTACTTATTTGACTAACCACCGAGATAACATCAATGAGCTAAAACAAGTCGAAATTGAATTGTTTACCGGTAGGTTGGTTTTAAATTTGTGGTTTTACAACTGAAATCGCGTGCGTGTGTAGTTTATGTTCTAAGGATATTTCACCACTATAAATCAAGGAATTTTGACATATAATCACAAACAAGAAATGTACGCTATTTACCTTTCAACAACAGAAATGAAAATTAAAAAATCAAACATCATTAAACTCACCAACTTGAATGACTGAAGACATAGATCTTTTTCTAACTCAAATGATCCATTAGAGTATCTTTTGCCATAATTCTTGTCTTGCCTCCTAAAACAAGATAAAATCCTTAATCTTCCGGCAAAGATTAAAATGGAATGATAATACCTCTCTAAAAAAATCTTGCAGACGTAGAACCACACGGTCAAATAAAACCAACATTCATTTAGCAAAAATCTATATTTACTTACCAAAGGCGAAAACTACCTCTCTGCTAAACAGAGAAATATAATTCATTTAACTTTGCAACAAACTCACTATGATGGAAAGGAAAAAATGCATTTTTTATACAACTTGGAACAAAATCTAAATCAATTCCATAAAAAAATACGAAGAAAACATTATTAACCATTACAACCAGCAAATTTTTTCAAGAGGAAAGGGGAGTAGAAAGAGATATTTAAATTCATATACCTCTTCAATTGCCTTGAGTAAATCAATCAATGGTCGAAAGGAAAATATACATTTTTTATACAATTTGGAACAAAATCTAAATCAATTACATAAAAAAATACGAAGAAAACATTATTAACCGTTACAGCTAGCAATTTTTTTCTAGAGAAAAGAGGAATAGGAAGAAATATTTAAATTCATGCACCTCTTTAACTGTCTTGAGTAAATCAATCAATAGAAATTGTTGTACCTGAAAATAAGGAGTATGGTTGCCTAGTATGGTCGCCGAAAATAAGGAGCAAAAATTGGAATGCACGTGAGCTAAAGAAGAGAAAGAAAGAAAGAAAAAAAGAACTTCAACAATAAAAAATAGTAAAAATATATAGATAAAAATTATGTTATTTTTTTCTCTCTTGTACACTAAATTGAGATTTATTTAGGGTGTGTTTGATTACATTTATTTTCCATGGAAAATATCAGTTTTCCACCTAAATATCTATTTGTAGTGTTTGATTGCTATTTTTTTTCATGGAAAATATTTTTCAACTTTTGAAAATATGCCTAATTTTTCTTGTTTTTAAGGAAAATATTTTCTTTGAGTAGAGGTGGTTTTTATTTTCCACAAAAGATGGAAAATATTTTTTTTCTAGGTGATATTTTCATTTTCAGTCAAATACACTACATTTATTTTTCATGAAAAATATCAATTTTCCACCCAAATTGCTACTTGGAGTGTTTGATTGCTATTTTTTTCCATGAAAAATATTTTTTAATTTTTGAAAATATGCCTAATTTTCCTTGTTTTTAAGAAAAATATTTTCCTTGAGTATAGGTGGTTTTTATTTTCCATAAAAGATGAAAAATATTTTCTTTTTTAGGTAATATTTTTCATGCTAATCAAACACACTTTAACTGTTCCATGAATAGTGGCAATTTGTTGACCTTTTAAGGGAAGTTAGATAAAATCGCACTATCCTATTTCTTTTAAAAGTCGGCTGATTTACTACCTCAAAACCCTAAACCTAGTTCTACGTTTGTAAACATTCACAATCCTATTGTACTGCTAGTGTTACTACATTTCCCAGTCTACTTGCTGAAATTCCATATTTTTCTTCTCGTTTGAATCCAATTTGAGGAACCCAGATCCGAGACGGCTTTGATAGACGCGAAAAAAAAATGGCGACTACTGATGATATTGGTGTAAATTTCTAGAAAAGAAGGTTATAATTTTATTTTCAATTTGTGTTCTTGGTTAACTTGAAAATATGTGTGACTCATCTCTTTGGTATTTTTATTCTTATTAGAATCGTTTATATCTGCGGATATGAAAATATTTATGGTAATCTTTTCCCTTTCCCCCTTTTAATTTCCATCAAGAAATGGCAAAACTTTGGTAATACTAGAGTGCGATGATGATCTCTTATATAATTATTTATTACTACTGTTAGTAATTGGGTGGGGAATTATTTTCCTTTCTTGCTTGTCTCACTTTCCGGTTGTGCTAGCTATATGTTACTGTATTTATGCATTGTGATCGCAACATTTTGATTTGAAAATTTGAAACCGTGCCGTTTGTAATCAGTATCTAATCAGGGTAAGTATAAATTTTGTGCCATCTGTAGTTGTATAATGCATTCGCTGAGGTGGTGTTGGTGTTTTTGTTGAATAACATATTATTTTTCTATTTCTTCTTATCTTAAAATTGATTTTCTTGGTAAAATTGATTAAATGCACTGTACATAGCTTGTCCAAGTTAGCTAAAAAACTTAACTGGACCTTTTGTATTTCTATTGAAAACCATTTTTCCTCTCAATAACAGAAGGCATTATCTATCAGTCATACAACCTTCATACAAGGACATGTTTTTAATCCTCCATCAAACCTTAGCCCCTGTTTGGCCCCCATTTTTTTCCAAATTTTAATGGTTGGAATAGTTTTTTTTTGAAAAATGTATGTTGAAAAAGAATGAAAAGTTTTTGATTTGCGTGTAATATTATTTTATGAAAAATTGTGTAGTTGAAAATAAGAGAGAGAAAAAGAATGAGAAGGAGAATGGGGGCCAAACTGGGGCTTAATCAGTTCCATGTTCTCATAAATGAATTTCCAGGTGAAGGGCTTTTTTCTCATGATTTATTTGTTTTGATCTGGCCCTTTTTGTGCCATAATTTGTGTTTAGAGTCTCGGCATTCTAGTGATATTAAGCTGCGCCATATGATGTTCAGGATATTGCGCAAGGGCTTTGAGTTCCATTATATTTTTAAATTTAAAATGGGACTGTGAAATTGATTGGTGATATATCCCATCTGATGGCCTATGTTCTAATTTGTTCTCTTCTATTTCCCCTTTCCCATTATTAGATCTTCTTGTTTCCTTTTATCTTAAGCTTTAAACTTATGCAGTGCTAGTGTTTTTCCTTGTGTCCTATTTATGCTATGCATACATTATAGCTCTAAACTTACAATCAAGATTCGATGTTCCAGTGAATTTGAGTTGTGTTATATGATGTTCTGGTGTTGTAGTTGAAATGTTACCTCTTTTTTCCTGTTTCATTCTTCTTTTTGGCGAATTTTGAATTTTCCCTTTCTTTTATTTTAATTGTACCAAGTGCATGGTACTGATTATTTTTCATGTTAAACTATTGTGCTGTAATTACATTTTGAGCTCGTGTTTCAGTGAACTTAAGTTGTGCCTTGTGATGATTGACATGCGTCAAAAGGGCTTTGAGTTATGTTATCCTTACAACCCATGTGATGACAATATATTATTTTTCCTTGCTTTTCCTTCTCTAAACTTAGATTACGCAGTTATCTGCTTATCCTTTTCTTTCAATCAATAACTGAAATGTTACTTGATTTACTTCCTTATCTTTGTGTCTATCCCTCAGATATTCAGAAACTAAATGCCATGAGATTTTTTAATGGAAGAGCTCATTCACTTCATGAGTACTCTAATTGCATCCTTTCTTCTATTTGTCTGCTTTTTTCTATATGGTAGTTGGCTTTTGCTGTTCAATAGGTCTCAGGTCCTGAGCTCAGATTCACAATTTGTATTGCGTATTTGATTCGTTTTGAGTTTTTCTACATACAGATGCTTCTTTTGGAAGTTAGCTTTTCTTGGGTCATATTAGGGGCAACATGATGGATTAACTTATTCATTAGTAAATGGATTTGGTGTATCTTAAAAAGGAGTATGAACAGTTGAATGACTTGGGAGAAATCCTTATTCGTCAATCATTAACATTTTTATTTGTAGTGTAATAGTTGCATCACTTAAGTTCTCCATCAGAGGTGTGGGCTTGTTCTCTTCGTTTGATATTTTTCTTGAGCTTGACAAACCCAACCTTGGATTAATTATATCGTAATATTTTGTATGCCTGAGAAATGAACTTTGAAGTTAAAAGAAAAAAAAAAGGTTCCACTGGTGGCAGATCCAATGAAACATATTGTGAAGATTATGGCATTGCTGGTGGCTTTATCAGCCGTCTGGATTAGCCTGTTGCTGACATCGGTAGTTCCAGAGAGCTATGCTTGGTTGGTGAGCTTCCTACTTGTCTGAATATTTTCTACTGGTATATCCTATTCTTCATTTTTGCACTTAACATAGACTTTTGTCTACTTGTTTTCTTCCTGCCAGCTGCCTCTCTACTTCATTGTATCACTCGGATGTTATGGTTTGTCAATGGTTGGGATTGGTCTGATGCAATTCCCTTGTTGTCCACAGGAAGCAGTTCTGTTACAAAAGGTATCTTCACAGCCTTTCATTTTAATATTATAGTACTTATTTTCAACCACATATTCTCCATTAAAATAATATTACACACAAACCAAAAATTTTTTCTTCTTTTTAAGCCACCCACTCTCCATCAATCTTCTATTCCATAATACGTTTTTCAAAATTGAAGTGGCTCAAACACACCCAAGTTTTTCTACTACACTTGTTGAAATAGTGTATTTGCTTTTATTAACTGCCTCGATCTTGTAATCTTATAAAAGTCAGGGCTCAGGGTGGGCAGACTTGACAAAAGCCATCAGTTTAAAAATAACCGACTTTGTTTGGTGTGCTCTTTGGATATTCATACCTGTTAGTTTCGTCTTGCAGGATATTATTCAAGCCAAAGATTTCCTGAAGACAAGAGGGGTTGATTTTGGTTCGAATTGAACAACAGATCTATAATAGTGGTTATTAGAGATCCGTAGTGAAAGTATTTCCTTAACAGAGCAATTCTTGAGATGATGAACTTTGGATTCTATTAAGACAACTTTGTCCTGATTTTTTGCATAACTAGTTCAATGTTTGTGCAGTGTAGAAGCGCTATGTAGTTGGGGTAGAAAAAATTATACTTCTAATGGAACTGATTCTTGAATCAATTGAGTTTCTTCTGTTTGAGTTCGTGCTGTCTCGTCTCAATGGTTCTAGTTTCTCTGAGATGATATTATTAAGAAACGTAAGGAAAATATTTCGAGATCATCTTGCATGACAAGTTAACGTAAGAACTCAAAAAGATGCAGTAGTAGTCAAAAATTGATAAAAGTACTTGTAAAAGAATATTCAGGCCCCGTTTGAGACACGAATGAAAAATATAGTCGTTATGGATTTCGCACAAAAGATAGATTTTCAAATTTAGTGACTTGATGTGATGTATAACGGTCATATTTATTATTTTAATGAGTAAATAATGAGAAACAAACGGGGATTCAAACATATCAAAAAGTTGTCAAGAATTGACAGTTTGCCAAAAATTTTAAGTTCTTGTTTGGTCCTATTTTTAGGATTCATTTAACTAATTTTTATTAAAATCTACTTTTCATCGAAACCAAATAGAGGTCAAGAAACATTATAAAGGAATTTTGAGATGTCATTGTCCGCCATGAAAATGAGTTTCAGAAAAAAAAAATAATAATAAATCAAGAATGGAGTTAAAATCGTGGCTTAGTCTCTTAGGTTGGATTAGACTGGGAATTTTCCATGAAGAATGGCTTGTCCAAATTTCAGATTTTGGAACATTTCGATTGTCATTTTTTTCATGAAAATTATTTTTCTTTAAAGATATGCTTAGTTTTTATCATTTTTGAGGATAAATTTTCTTCAGGAGATGTAGATTCTTGTTTTAAAAAAAAAAAAAAGAAAAAAAAAAAGACATTTTCTTTTGTATGTAACATTTTTTATGCTGATCAAAGACACCCATACTGAATAACTGGCATTTGGAATTAGGATACTTATATCCCCCTTACCAAACACCATTCTTCCAAACTCGTGCCCTTGTGTAATTACAAATATCCTCCTAGTTCGATTGATTCTTCACCCAAATTACTGAAACAAAAATGGGAAGCAGCGATGTGGAGGCAGGGTTCGCTAAGCTGCAGGGGGAAGATTTCGAGTACTATATGCAGACTTATTCAATAATTTTAGGGCGCAATTCCAAGAAATCTTCAGTGGATGTTGATCTGTCCTCCCTCGGAGGTGGCATGAACATCAGCCGCCACCACGCGCGCATCTTTTACGACTTCCAACGCCGGCGCTTTGCTCTTGAGGTGCTTGGAAAGAACGGCTGCTTCGTCGAGGGCGTGCTTCATCTTCCCGGGAATCCCCCTGTGAAGCTCGATTCACAGGACCTACTCCAAATTGGGGATAAGGAGTTTTATTTTTTATTGCCGGTACGGAGTATCCTGGGAGGACCTATTGGGCCGAGGCATCATGTCAATAACTATCAGATGGGTTCTGGACTTCAGTATCATGGTCAGAATCAGCATCATTCGCGGCCACAGCCCCCAGGGTCGGGAGGGGTGGAATATGGTAAGAAGGGGAGAGGGAGGGAGTATTATCAGGAGGAGTATAATGAGGAGGGCAATGGTGGTGAGGAGGATGGTTTCACAGGGGGTAAGCGGATGAGGAGAGTGGATGGTGTGGATGGTTCCACTGTTGGTTATGGGTATGGTTTGGGTGGGTCAGGTTCTGGTGGCAAGGCAGGGCTCTCGGGGCAATTGGGTGAGTTATTCTGCTCTCTATCTGTTCTACTGGATTAATTTTATTGCTTGTTCTGATTTGTATCTTGGGGTAGTTGAAATTCTGATTTTGGTTGTGCATTGATATATTTTGTGATCAATAACGGACATTAAATTTATAATAGATAGATTATGTTTTCATGCTTTCTAATCATGTTTAGCTAGTTCATAGCTTCTGTATTTAAAGGATAAAGAAATTTGATCTCCTCGGATTTCAATAAGAGCTTAGATTTTGCATGTAATCTTTGTTTTTATCCACTCTTGCTTGAGGTTTAAATCATTTATCGGTTGTTTATTGCTGAATTTATGATTTCATCATCTACTTTTACATGTGTAGCTAGTTCATAGCTTCTGTATTTAAAGGAGAGATAAATTTATTCTCCTCAGAGTTCAATACCTGCTTAGGTGTTGCAAGTAATCTTTGTTTTATTCCTCTTGCATGTTGTTTAAATCGTTGATAGGATTGTTTATTGCTAAATTTTAGTAGATTCTGATAACATTTGTTTTTGTGGTGTATGATGTTCATGTCATAATAGTGTCAGTATTTGAACTTCAGGGTTTGTCCATTTTACCACCAAGTAAACTAAGCAGCCTCTTATGGGCACTTTCACTGCTCTCTCTAGTATGTGTAACTGTTTTGCAGGTTGCGGATTGATCTTCGATGTTTTAATATTCACATTGGACTAATGGATAATTTCCTTGCATTCTACCACTGTCTGTTGGTAACCGGGAGTTTGGCAGATCACTTGGAGTCTTGGAGAGTAGGGTTTCACTAGAGTTATGTGTCCGGAAAGCGTTGTGCTTCACGTACATTGTTGTTTTAAGCAAAACCTTGTAGAACTTGCCTTAAGTAGGATTGAAGGCTTAATGAGTATGCTCCTATGAATCGTTGAAGAGACACAACCACTGAATTTGCAATGATAGATAGTGGATATGTAAGACCATATGAATTTCAACTGGACGATGAAAAGTAAAAGCAGTGAGAATATGCAGATAGGAAGTGGAGGTGAAATTAGCAATACTATTTGTATTATTGTAGTGTACATTTACTAAGCTCTGGCAGCTTTTTTTTTTTTTTTTTTTTTTTGCCAGTCCTCAAAAATGTTCTTTAGCTCTGCTCTTTGCATTTTGATTTGAATATGTTATTCAAAGCATATTTATCAGAGCGGATGTAACTTTTGGATGGCATCTTTTGTGGCTTCACACAACTGAGAAATGTTGCTCTTACCAGAAGTATGGTCTTCAAACTTCCTTCCAAGGATTACTGTCTATCTCTCTGATGCAGAAGCATAGGAACCCTGAAAAAATGCCAATTACGATTTAGCCCCCGTTTGGCTCCCATTAATTTCCATTTCATTAAATTTCATTTTTCCCTCTCCTATTTTCAACCACACAATATTCCGTAAAATAATATTACACGTAAATCGAAAAAATTTTCTTCTTTTTCAACCACTCATTTTTCCCCCCAAAAAAAAAAAAACACTATTCCACCCATTTTCATTTCTACAAAATGGGGGCCAAACGGGGGCTTATTCCCGAGCCTTCTTGAGTTTAGTTGACAGATAGGCTGCTCGATCCTGTCGTAGTTCCACTAGATGCCCCCACTTCTGAAGCACATGATAAAATCCAAGTTCCTCAACCATCTCGAATTGACTGTTATGTAGAAACATCACTTCTATTTGAAATTTTGCATTTCCTTGACAAAGAGTTAGCAGCACTGACCATTTATACACGATATGATGACATATATTGGCCATCTTCACAATCACAATCTAAAGCTTCGTCCCGGTTGTTTGGAAATTTGAAGCTGATCAATATATCTCGTCAACCTAATTAAATAAATGGTTTAGATGGGCAAAAGTGCATCCTGGGGGAACAGTTTGAATTGGTCCACATTTTTCTTACCTTCCATACCCTCAATTTTATTTAATTCTTAGCATTTAAAATTTTTTTCTGGTTAATCAATCAGTATTGGGTTCTGGCATGCATTTACCTTTAAGTGTAATGGAAGCAGGTCTATTTATATTCACTATGTGGACATTGCTTCTTTTCTGAGTACCTAGTTAAATTGTAATGATTATTTAGGGTAAATTTGAGTAGTTTATTTTTATCAGGAAAAAAATGTGAGTAGTATTAGATAACGAATTTTAAGTAATGGGTAAGGCAATGAATGATATGCAATCATAGAAGTTTGCTGGAATCCTGAGAATATCTTATACAATATGCCATTGACATGATTTTCCCTGGATATCTTGCAGATAAGAAAGTTGAGGGAAGATCCCGTGTTGACAGGGAGGCTGACAATCAACAGCTCCTTCAGCTAGAGGAGAAGGATGTTGTATCATCAGTTGCCACTGTGCTCTCTGATCTCTGTGGTCCTGGAGAATGGATGCCAATGGAGAGACTTCATTCTGAGGTATGTATCTATCTGGATGTCCTATTGCATGCTCATCTGCTTTCAATCCACCAATGATGAACATACTATTCTTGCAGGAATTTCCTTTTTCCTGTAATTTATAATATGAGAATAGTGGAATAATTTTTTGCTCAGTTCCTACACCTCCAAATCACGATATGCATATTTTTTGATTCTTTTGCCCCTTCTCTTGGAATATGTTCACCTTGATGCTTAGAATATGACACATTTGAATTTCCTCCTATTCTGAACAAAATAGCGGCGCTTTGATCTTTTAGGACCTCTTTAATTGGTCCATTTTCCATGTAAAATGGAATTCAAATTTCAACTTCCACCCATTTTGTGTTGTTTGATAGCAAAATTTTACCTGCAAAATGAATTCCCTCCCCCTCACTCACGTGACCCATTTTCCATGTATTTGTGGAAATTGATTTCCCATGGTTTTGGTGGGAAATCAATTTCCAGGTTTCCTTTTATTTTATTATTATTATTATTATTATTATTATTATTATTATTATTATTATTATTATTTACAATGGAAACAAATTCTAACCACCATTGTTACAAATTATATCCATTTAATTGACAATTTCTATGAAAAACAAAGCCAAATGAATACCAAAAGATACAAAATTTCAACATTTTTCAGTGGAAAATTATACTAATTAAACATATTTAATTGACAATTTCCAGTGAAACAAATTCTAGGCAATTCAATTCCCTGGAATTTGTTTTCTTTTCTATCCAAATTCCATCATTGCAATCAAACGGACCTTTATTGTAATTCTAGACTTGCAGAGTAAAGTGGCCAAGTATTTAAAAAATAAATAAAATTACTGTTCCATTTTGTTCTGTGAGCTGCTATTTTCACTCCCTTTACTTTTTATTTGTTCCCCTCAGGCTAAGCTCCATCTTCCTCTAGTTACCTTGCAAGCAGAACTTTCTTTCAAATATAAAAGAGGAAAGGAACAAAAGAAAATCACTGGCTGGATTGATGAATGTATATCAACTTAAACTATTTGCTTAGACAGCTGCTTCCTCAAGTACTGAGATCTTCATCCTTCGACCCCTCTTTCCATTTATCCCTTCTTCCATTGGCAGTTGAAGAAATTGCTATTTTTTAATTTGCATTATGTGCTAAAACATTAAATATATTGCACCATAAAGCATGCAACTGAAAGGAAAGAAAGAGGATCAGAGGGAAGTTCACATATATCACAAATCATGTATTATATGATGGTCATGCATCATTTAGAATGAGCTGCATGTATTTTCTAAAAGAAGTTTTCCGAATTCTTCAAGTTGAGTTCCCTTGGGAAATTACATGGGAAGTAGTTTAGATGCATGTACACGTTCTTGTCTGCAGCTACAATCGTGGAACAAATATTTATTAGACAGACCTGGCCGCTCAATTGAGAATTTCATAGTGCTAAGTAAGTTAATGAAAATGAAACCGTGAAACTGCATAAACACTTTCCACTTGTCAGCACATATTTGGCTAACACTATGAAAGTAAGAACTGTGGCATAAATGAAAGACTTCAACTCTCATACCAGCCAGAGATATTTGAGCGCAACTGAGTCAGCCATGCTGATTAACACGTGAAGGTATCTTGGAGGGGACAAGATGTAACTTTTGATAGACGAGGAGCCAGTTTCTTACTTTTCTTATTTGAGGGTGAATTTGATAGAAAGTAGTTGCTTTTTCCTGTTTGGTTGTGGAGCTTGGAAGAATTGGGTGGAAAAGATGCTGTAAATTAAGAATGGACTGCAATATGCACAAATCTGCTTGCGGAAGAATAATGATCTGTATCATTTGATGATTTGAATGTTTAATTGCTAAAGGGTTTCTTGTTTGTTAACATGTTTATCATTTATAATGACGTAGATAAGCAATTAAACATTATGGAAACTGTTGTTCTCATGATATATAGTTCTGAAATATAGTGAGTTTCTTAAATGTGAAAGTTATGAATGGTGGCTGTAAGTTAGTAGTGAGGTTCTTAAATATGATATTTATGAGTGAGTGGTTTTGGGGCTGATTACAAGGAGAAAGAGGGGGAGGTACTGATGGAGAAGTGATGCTGGATAAAGAGGGATTCCAGCAGAGAATAAAAATAGCAGGAAAGAAGAAGAATTGCAGAATCTCAGCAAGAAGGAGAAGAGAAGAGGAAGACGGCAGCAGGGGGGAGAAACCCGGAGAAGGAGAAGTTAGGGAGGAAGGGGAAGGAAAACGTTAAAACCAAGCATATTCATTTCATTAATTCATCAACTCCCTCAAATATGCGACAAAACAGAAGTAAATAGCAAAACAAAAACTCTAAAGAGAAGGGTTTGGGCCAAACCCACTTTACAAGCCCAATAATAGAAACATAAATAATAATGCAAATAGAATATAACTAATAGTCCAAATAGAAAATAAATAGTAAATGGATGTCTGCATTAACTCTCTCGGGGTGGGAGAAAAACTCGACCTCGTCGAGTGGATAAATCAAAATGTTGCAGTGAATCCGATGCTAAAGGCTCCAAATCATGCCATGGGGAACGATCTTTCTTGATGACCAAATATCGAAACTCCACAAATTCGACCCTGTCGAGTGAACAAAACACAGAAGGCTGCAATTGATTTGATACCCAAAATACTCCAACTCAAGCCATGGGGGACGATCTTTCTGACGAACCAAATATCGAAATTCCACAAATGATGACAACGCCAATTGCAAATTACCCTCAAAAATATGAGCTGACCAAGATAACCTAGGCGAATGAGGATTTTGCTGACTCTTATAAAGCTCCAATGAATTTGACTCACGCCGCTGAAGTCTCTCTTTGGGAATCCATGTATCGTCAGAATCAAATCGATCCATCCAACGAACAAGAAAG